CTCGACAACAACTAAACGTGTTCTGGCTAGCCTGCCGATGCAGGAGCAATTGCCTTGATGGGGTTCCCTCCTGAGTGAGCTTTCGTTGGTCTACCATAGAATCTGATCAGAATCATACTAGCCAAAATCTTAAACATAGTCAATGTGCACAGAGGAGTTGCATCGAGATCCCCTGCATGTTGTACATTAGGCCTGACCTTGATAAGATATCAACTGATGAACATAAGGCTCTTGAGGAGTACATGCCGAAGATTGATGAAGATGAGAAGCAACAAGCAGAACACGTAAGCTGGTGGCAACAAAACAATTCATATTTCATTTCTCAATGGATATAGGCAGGACAATGTCATGACAGTCAAGTATGTCACCTTTGCTCCTCTTCAGCATGAAGAAAAAACCAAAGCAACTTGTTCCCCATTACTAAGTGGTAGAGATATATTACTTAGGACTGTTAGTGATATGGTAGACACTTATGTGCAAAATAATATGAATATCGTGCACGATCATTAGCTTCGACTGGAAAAATATAGGGACTACTACTTGATCGACGGGAAAAGGAGTAGTTATTGATGAAGGTCGGACTCAAACTTTTGGCCAATACTATTTTTACTCGGCCGATCTATAATCATGTAACTAGTGCACCTTTGTTGCAAATGCTTTATTCCTGTTTGGACAAAGTAAAGATGGTTCTAATATTCGCATAATGAGCTCCATAGTGAACCACCCATACAACCAACAAGGTTGAATTTGTTGCTTGAATCAACCCAAAATTCTCATCTTATGCACACACACATACCTCAGAACCAATTGCATCAATAGTTCGGAACACCATGACCAAAAAAAATCTTTCGAGTAGTTTGTGAGACCAATTCGTACAAATAGAAAAAGAGATGGGAATAGAGCATAAAATTGGGGTTGACTCATATAACAGATCCTACATATTTTTTGATACTACACCGTATCAACATAATTTTAAAGTACTTGAATTCATTTAATTCTCTGGAGAGGACAAGACTACATGAGAGCATATTAGCTAGTTTATTGCACAATTGGCATCTATAGTGGCATTAATTCTGTCATGACCCAAAGTCTTCCCAAATGAAACTTTTTCTAGAACCTCCTTGATAACCTTGCATAGTCCCTCTTGGCCAAACAATCATCACCTCTTCCTCTCAAGGAATTCCTAGTACTCTCTACTAGGGCAAGGACTCCAAATTCACTAATCAACCTCATCGATTCTCCCTAATCAACCCAAGGCAATTAGAGTCAACCCTAGTCAATCTATAGTTGACTTTGAGAAGATAATCAGAGATAGTTGCCATGTAGCCTTCCCAACCTCTCTAAAGGTGTTTATCAACCACTAGAGAGAGACCAAGGACCCCAATGCCAAATCAATTTCTCTAAAATCAAATTCTCCAATTTCGTGATCTATCGGAACGCTCGACGTCTCATCGGATCGTCTGCTAGATCACTTATTCAACAGAATTTTGTTCTGGTGAACTTTCCCTCTCCCCTCCCCTTGACCCGATATGTCAGCATGAAGTGGAGATATTTGCTAGCGGAGTGAAGCCCTCTCCACTCACCCTCTCACAAACCAATCATTTTCATTCCGCCCCCTCTCTCATATGAAGAACAAGGAAAAACTAGACAAAGAAAAGAAAGGAGAAGAAGAGAAGGAAGAGAAAGAAAAGAAAAACAAGAAAATCAAGAGGATGCTCAGCACCACCATCTTAAGGTAAAGTTGGACATCTTCATGTCCATCTTCATTTGGTGAGTTCAAGAAGATCTCTCTCATTTTCTTGAAATCATCTTTCAACCCTAACTCTTGAATCTCTCTATGCATGGATGCAAGAGGAAGCTTGGTAGTTGCTCCATTATCTCAAGTGTAATGTCATCTCTCACTTAATCTTCTCACCAACTCTTGGATTAATCTCTAATAGCATTTCTGTGGTTTTTGCAAGAAAAATCATGAAAAGACCAAATCCATCTCTTTTGCTTGGAAGCAAGGATGAACAAGGTTCAATGCGCTTGATCTTTGTGACCTAGAGGTCACCCAATCACAAAGAGTTAGGGTTACTATAATTTTTTCATTACAAATGTTATGAACAACTTGGTCAGATACTATAATCCACTACTATAAAAAAGATTTGTAGCAACGACTCATTTTTTGTAGGGGCGGCTGGAGATGGAGGCACCCCTACAGTGGACGTGCTCGGGACCCACGAGCCCAGCCGCCCCTACAAATGGCATAGTAGGGACGGCTGGTGATATGAGTTGCCCCTACAAATAGATCGATTTGTAGGGGCGGCTCACTCACCAGCCACCCCTGGTGTTGTCATTTGTAGGGGCGGCCCAATCAGCAGCTGCCCCTACAAATACATTTGGCCCACTAATCTTGTCCATCCATCTTGATCCAAATGGGGAGGCTCCCCTTTGCACCGAACCCCGTGCCTGGTTTGCGAAACCCATCGTCGCCGTCCCTGTTTTCGCGCGACCACAACTGCAGTTTCGGCTAAACCGCTGGGCCCTGCCTGTCCTCGCTTGTCCCTTGCCGCCTTCCCTCTGAGACCGAGCATGCGCGCGCGAATTGGAAATTCTCCGGCCCCGCCGCTTCGCGCCTGCACCCAACCTACCAAGTGAGACCGACGAAAGGGCCCCACTGCCAGATGGCGCTCAGGCACTGGCCAGTCAACCTTCAGGAGGTCCCCCACAGCCGCTTGACCCAGCGCCGTCCCAATTTTCCCGCCCGCGACGGCGCGTTTGGGGAGGATTGGCGCTGGTTGCTAACCGAACCTGCTGCGCCGGCCCCACCTCATCTCATTTCGTGTGCGTGGTATGGAAAACAACCGGCGCCGCGCCCCTGGTTTGGCGAATCCGCCGTTGCGTGGCGTGCAGCCAGTGGCCATCTCCCTCCGCCACACGCACCCACCCCTTCCTTTTCCAACTCCGCCCTAGCCTCTGGAGAGAAAAGCTCGAGAGCCACACACCACATTTCTCTCCTCCTCCCATTCATGCGACAGCACGAGCTCTGGATCCGGCGCCACCGTGCGGGCGAGCTCCGGCCCTGGCGTCGCTGTGCACTGTGCACGAGGTCTCTGATTTTGATTTTCACGATTTTGTGTTTGCAGTTTTGTGTTCGTCGTTGTTCTTCCGTTCTTGCCCCAAATCGAGCAGCCCCGAAGTTCGAATCAATTTCAGGCAATGATTTCTTGGGGATAGATTCGTTGCAAGTTGAATTGCATCTCTGCAAAATTTGGGAGCATTTCCTTTTGATTTGGTCGGTTTTCCTTCGAATTTCGTGGTCACTTTCTCTTCTCTACGTAGCTCTGTTCTTCGTTGATTGAGGTGCAGGCACATGGGATTCTTACAGGAGCGTTACCAGAGCCGGTGCACAGGTGCCGTGCTTGCTTCCTAGAAGCAGCGTTCGTCCCTCTCCTTGCTGCCCATCAGCGCTCGTGCTCAGTTCTTCTCTGTCCGCTCGTTCTTCCTTTTTCCCTCTATTCGTTTAGCGCCGGGCTGAGTCAGAGCGCTCGATGAGATCAGGTGGTAGCAACTCATCTCCACTGTCAGTTTGAATCTTATTATCAATTGTCTAGATTTGGTGCGTTTTTGTGAGATCTAGAACATCTTGGCTTGGAGTCTATTATGTTGTTTATGAAAGCGTGTTCTACAGTTTGCTTGCTCATTCTCTTTGTGCCCAGAGCAGGAGCTAATCTTGTGTCTCAGATTTGCAGGTCAGGCAGCAACTAGCCCAGCAGTAGCAGTTCGCCCTGCAGGAGGAGTTCAACATTGTTAGTCAGCAAGATTAGTCGTGCTCTCTACAACATTAACCACAGCTCGGCTCTGCCTTATTCTTTTGTTTCTTGCAATAAATGCATTTCGTTTCCTTGCAGCTAGCTGTAGCCGCAGTATCTGTTTGTGCATGCGGTCAAATTTGAATTATATATATATATATATATTCGGGTCGAATTTGAATTATAAATTTAAATTTCTTTTGCGAAAAAATATACTGTAGGGGCGGTTCTACACTGAACCGCCCCTACAAACAGGTATTATAGGGGCAGCTGGTATTATATCCGCCTCTACAAATTGATTTTGTAGAGGCCCCTACAAATCGATTTATAGGGGCGGCTGATAATACCAGCCGCCTCTATAAATCGATTTGTAAGGGCGGTCTAGAAACCACCCCTACAAATACATGATTTGTAGAGACGGTTTGGTAGAGGCGGTTGGCCAAACCGTTGCTATAAATGGTCTTAAGCCACCCCTAAAAATGCTTTGTGGCGTAGTGAATCTTTTTACTTGTAGCAATGCACAGGCTAGTCATGCTATATATATGTGATTGAACATACAAGATATATTTGGCATAGCATAGTATATCAAAACAATATTGTGCAATGTAAACATCATGTGTTACAAAAAGACAAAGGAAAATTAGATTAGTTAGATTATAAACAAGCATTGGAAGTAAAATTAAGGATGTAGTCTTCACGGTGATGAAATTTCTTTCTTGCATTCATGAGAAATTGGAAGCATTCATGCGATCATAAACAAGGTGGAAGTAAAACAATATTATTGTGTGCAATGTTGTGGCATTCATGAGATGGCTAAAATGATGTTGAAACTTGTGTCATTCACGAAGAAATTGCAGCTTAACTAGTGTCATTCACAAACAAATGGACAGATCGTGCAAAAGAAAGCACATTTTCTCAAGAGAGCGTAAGAGAGCAAGCGAGCACCAAAGATTAATTCATACTAGACTACATTGTAAGTCATTAGAAAATGTCTTCTCATGTCTCATCATGATAATATTATTTTTGAACCATGCAAGAAAGCCATGTTCCAGTTTCCTTAAACTGGTCATACGATGACCAAATAGGAGTTCCTGATCAATATTATTACACACAGGCGACGACATATAAAGTCCAAATAAATAAAGTTCTACATACGATATGCAATGCTTATTCAGTCTCTCACTGCACCATTTAGTCACCGGCTCTCTACTTGCTGCCAGAAGGACCAGCACAGTCGGAAGAGGGAACAATGGAAGTGTTGGACTTGGAAGGACCGGCATCATTGTTTGATATACCAGCACCGTCGGAAGAAGGAATGGCAGCGTTGGAAGGACCGGCAACATCGTTTGATGTACCAGCACCGTCGGAGGAAGGAATGGCGGAGTTGGAAGGACCGTCAGCATCGTTTGATGTACCAGCACCATCCGAAGAAGGAATGGCAGTGTTGGAAGGACTGGCAGCATCGTTCGATGTATCAGCTTCATTAGAAGGACCAGCCCTGTTTGAAGGCTCTGCACGGTTGGAAGGACCAGCACCGTTGTTGCCGCCCCTCTCATTCTCCTGGATCGCTTTGTTGATCATGTCATAAAGGTCCGCCTTCTCGCGCTTGTACGTTTCCATCTTCTGCTTAATTGCGAACAGCCCCCTCGGGCCAACTCTAGCTGCAGTTTGCTGGAGTTTCGTCATCTTTCTATTGATACAATTGACCTGGGGCATCATCAACAACCAAATGACATATGGATGAACGAACTACAGATCCAGTACATACATTTATAAATAAATTGAAATCCACACATCAGATATGGAGTAACGTACGTACCCTGCGCGAATATAGCCGATATATATGTAGCGTCTCTTTGGCAAAGACGTCTGAACGATGCTAAAGATCCAAGCTTCGGTTCATTAGCGGAGTCTTCGCCACTCATTTCCAGGTACGTCGTTGTATCCAGAACCAATTTTGGAAAGCCTCTTGCTTTCCTTCCTCTCGAGTTCGGTCTTGCGTAGTTGCTCCACCAGGCTTGGGTACAACAACACATTGGTACCGGACTCTGGATCATATGGTGGAACAAGCAGAGAAGACTCGAATATTTCTGGTTGGAATCCTTCCCAGTTAAAAGGAGCAAATACGGCTCCAGCATCCTTGTTTTCTTCCTTCTGTGAGACTGCAGGCTGAACAGCTTGAGGACCTGCTGCTTCAGCTCCCTCTGGAGGAGCATCGATGTTCTCTTGTTCCTGCGGCGCCGTGACCCCAGGCTGAGCAGCTTCAGGGACTGCAGTTTCCGCTACCTTTGGAGCATCGGTGGTTTCTTGTTCCCGTGGCGCTGTGACCGCAGACTCAGCAGCTTCAGTGACTGCTGCTTTCGCAACCCTTTGAGCATTGGTGTTTTCTCCTTGTTCCTGTGGCGTGACTGCAGGATCAGCAGCTTCAGGGGCTTCTGTTTCCGCTACCCCTGGACCATCGCTAGTGTTTTCTTGTTCCTGCGGCGTGACTGCAGCTTGAGGGGCTGCTGCTTCCGCTACCCCTGGAGCATCTGTGGTTTGTTGTTCCTGCGGCGTGACGACTGGCTGAGCAGCTACACATGCATGAGATAACAACGCCATTACGACTAGGATACCAGAGTTTTCAATTTACAGAAGCATGAATATGAATGTCCTATATAGTATTATATACGGGTTTTGCTGTGATACCTCCAAATAACTGTGGACCATTGATCTGAATGATTATTAGCACATATTACTTTCTAGGAGGTAATATAAGAAATATATAATTATATCTATTTGTAGTTTGAGAAATAGGTAAAATAAGGAAAATATCTGTCAAACAATTCTAAACAAATCTGACGTGCATGCACATGCATGCTACATAGATTTGTGCGATATTTCCCAACGTCTACTATGTAAGTTTTTTAGTTGATTGATTATTTCTATGTGTCATAATTTATATCCCAAAGAGTGTGTGTTACGTGAACTTGGTTTTTTTTTAATCTGACCTATTTAAGGTTGCAGGTCTCACATGAGTTCTAATATTTTTATTTTGGGATGCGATGTACATATTTATGTAACATGCATCCATAATTAAGCTATGAGTCTTTAATTTAACATAATCAGTCATAGTAATATTTGTTTACGTGTCATATCTAAGGCTTAACATCCCGTGTGCGTATGCTTTATGTGTGAAGATAAGGACATATTCATGGTGTAACGTGACAATTTTTTATGTTATCCTGAAGAAACCAATTTTTATGTCAAGAATTCACAAAAAAAAAAAATTGTGTTATGTGTAAATGCGTAATAGCTTCACGTCATCACGTACGTGTGGCATATCCATACATGTGTGTTGAATGTTACGGAGTAGACCCTAAAATCATGGCCGGAAGTGTTCCCTTCCCGGTGATTACGGGATTTTGACAGATTTTTCTTTGTTTTCTTTGGTGTTTGTTTATTTAACTAATTCATAAAATATAATAAATCAATGGCTCAGATTATTTTGAACTATTACCTCCTAATAGGTAATATTTTGTACCGTAGCATTGCCCATTATATACAGTACTTTATTTTTGAAAGAAAAATGTTCTATACACTTCGGAATTTCGATCCTCTCACCAATAGTTGAAGCAGGGGCTGAAAGTATATTATGCAACATAGCCCCGAGCTCCTCCATGCGCGCATGGTTGCTCGGCGGTGGCGCCGTGGCGACGTTGGTGCAGACTGCCGCGTAGTTGCTAGACCACGTGTCTTGCATCTGCCCGCGGTTTCTTTTCATCATCTCCACGCTGCGTTCTATAAAGTTGTGAACCCACTCGTGGTTGCGCCCGCGGAGACTGAAACAAAGGTAAAAGGATATATATAACCAGAGAGAGATTCTTCTTTATATGTACTAGCTAGTAGCATTGTGGTTGAGCCACTTACTCATGGTGCAGCAGGACATCCGTATGAAGCTGACCATCTTCACGAATGGACATACGATCGACGATCGCATGCTGGAAAATCATCCCCGGGTCCGAGGCATGCACCATGAAATGCATCTTCCGCCTCTCTGCAGAGTACATTGATGCAGTGTATATATATATAGCGGCGTGAGCAATGCAGTAAAGGGCAAAGGTAAAGTAAAATTTGTCCCTAAAGGCACATGCCGTGCTATTGTGGACCACAAAATTCGCAGAATATTGTCTCTGTCCTGCTAGGCACGAATCTCAGTGTGAATCTTATGGTGCACAATTGCAAAGCATGTGCCCTTAGAGCGGCCAGGCGAGTACGTAAGAAATCTGAGAATGAAAAGAATCATGCTACGCATAAACTCTATATATTTGTCTACAATTGAATAAATTGGAGAAGAACGTCCTTTCTTATTACCATCTAGACACACGACTTCCCGGACTGAGCGGCACCGGGAGCAGTCGAGTTGGCTGCGGATGATTGGCCGGAAGAAGACGTCCTCCTTGACAGGGTGCACGTCGTTAAGCGCAGCAGGACCGGCAGCACCAGCGTTGTCCCCACGCTCAATGTCCCTGATGATAGCAGGAAGCTCTACCTCCCCATCGTTGATGAGCTGTTCGTACAGTGAAGGGCTTGGATCGGGTACAACGCCATTAGCGAGCATATGCATGTTAGTGTTAGCCTGGAATAAAGAGGCTTCGTCGACGCCGTCGCAAAGCATCGGCGTAGGATCCGGAAAGTAGCCATACGCTTGATGATGCATCTCGGGGGGCAGCATTTGCATCGGCTGGGTGTTGTCCACGGCCATCGCCTGGTAGTACTGATCTACGTCCATGGCCGATGCCTGATACTGCTCAGCGTTGATGATCGGCGCCTGATAGTGCTCGGCGGCGTCGATGGCTGGCACAGGAACGCTGAAATCGGGCGCCGGCGGGTGTCCCTGGAATTCAGTGGTCGGCGCCTGGAGGCCAAAATCCGGCGCCACTCCCAGCCCCTGTGGCGCGTGGTGATCATGGAATCCAGTGATCGGCGCCTGCTGGAGGCCAAAATCCGGCGCGGCGTTTAGCGTCTGTGGTGCCGGGAGTCCCTGGAATTCAGTCGTCGTCGGAGCCTGGTGGCCCAATAAATCCGGCGCCGCGTTCAGCGTCTGTGGCGCCTGGTGGCCCTGGACTTCATCAGCGGTCGGCGGCGCATTCTGGCAGAGCCCCACGAGAGTGCCCTCCGGTTCAGAGAAGGGGAACAAGTGAGCCTCCGGGCTAGGGCAAAGCAGGAAGCGGCTGACATCGCCGTCGGCGTCGTACGGCTCGTCGTCGGACATGGACATGGCTGCAGTGTTATGTGCGTGGGCGGAGGTTGGCGGCGCATGCAGAGGCCAAGACGGATGCGTGGAGCGGCAAGATGTCGGATTTGTGCAGTAGTGGAGTGCCTGGCCATGGACGGCAGCGGCGATAGGGTATTTGTACGCCGCCAAGGGGCGGCGGTTGGTGGAGTTTTACGCGCGCGCGCGCGACGGGACGCGACGGTTGAAGCGGCGGCGGCGGTTTGCGCGCGCGTGCCGGCGGTTTGAGTTTGGGCGCGGTTTGTTCGTAGCCATCAGATCCGCATCGAACAGAGCCGGGTGGAGGCAACCGCATGCACGCCGGGGACTGGGGACAACGCGTGTTAATTAAATGACGTCACGAATGAGCTGCTTGATGATTGGATCAGTATCGGACGGTGGGAGGGAAAAACCTGTTCGTGTAAATCGTGTTCGCGTGACGGAGGCATTCTCGATCGATATATCTGGCGATTGGTAGTAACCATATTCAAACACCTATCTATGTCATTTGGATAGGGTATACAAAGAAATGGATACGACACGATATGGAGAGTGGACTATTATAGAGAAGTCTTTAGCTTTACATTCTTTTGTTACCACCAAATCTTCTAAATTTTATAACTGGGATACAACTAAAAGTGATTATCGTGTGCCTAAAACTTCATCGTAGCTTCTACCGTTGTGAGATGGATTCACCTCTACAATCCACCACACGTTTGTTCCATTACAAGAGTATATGTGCAATAAGGAAGAAAAAAAAACAAAGAATCAGTTCTAGTCACCATATAAGTACGTTCGTTGTTATCCACGCGACATGGCCCCGTTCGTGAGAGCTCTGCTCCCTGATTCTTCAGCTCTGCTTCTTAATTCTCCGATGGAGTGATTTCATTAGATTCCAAGGTGAGAGTAGGGTGGGGAGCTGATGAGAATTGATTCTCTGCTGATCCCTATCAGAATTTAATAGGGAGCAGGGTGAAGTATATTTTTAGCTTCCAACTCTTAGTGTAAATGGAAAAGTGATTCTCTCCTCATCCCTATCTGAATCAGTTGGCATTTGAGCATTTGGCTGATTCGGAGTGATTCTCTTCAGAGAAGCTAAAGATAGAGCTCTCCCAAATGGCCCTAAACACGGAAGCACCATAGCTTTCAAGGAAGCAGTAGCACGTCCCACCTACCACTACAAGAAAACCCCCTGTCTAGATACGTTTTGTTTGCTACGCTTTTGAAAGCATGTTTATTTCTTAAGTGATTTCAGCACTAGACACGCTTCTTGACATGTTACGAAGAAAGCGTATCTAAGTTGTGAGAGGTTCCGTTGCTAGATACGGTTGTTCTTACGGTTTAAAATAAAATAACGTATCTACGTCTGACAGTGAACACGATTCTTAACACGCTTTAAAACGTATCAAAAGCTATATGTCGCAAGAGCAGATGCATAGACTCTACGTGGCATTCGTGAAAAGTTTAGGCCCACTAAAATATCCTATTCAGCCCATTCTACCCCACGCCATAACTGCTCCCCCTCTCGTTCTCTCCCAGTCCGCAACGCCGCCGCCGCCGCCCGCTTCCGAGATCCGGTGAGGGGAACCTACCGGCCGGACGCACCTCCTCCCAGATCAGTCTACACATGAAGGCCGGTCACCATCAGCCTCCGCCGCCCGCCGCGCGCCGGCTAGGTCGTCGTGCTGGATGTGCGCCAAATCAGGTCAAGGACGCCTCCCTTCCTTATTGAGCCTTTTTCCTGTGTACCATTAAAAAAGATGGCCTTTTCCTATAGGCCACTAAAAAGTTCGGACTTACCTAGGTGCCATGACACTTTATTTCTTTGCCCCCCAAGCCATTCCGTGCACGTTCTGTTTGGTTTTGACAGTTTCAAAGCCCTGACAGGTGGGACCGGACAGGAAATTTGTCCATCTTACCCTTCTATGAGGGAGAGGCCGTGTTGACCGAACTTGACCGCCATCGTATTCTCACTCTCGCTTCTCTCTCGTTCTCTTCCCCAAACCCTAGCTGAGGCAGGCGGTGGCGGACGCGGAACCCTAGCGGCGGCGGCGGACGCGGAACCCTAGCGGCGGCGGCGGGTTGAGAAGAAGATCAATCCCCCGTGCTTCTGGTGTCGAATGGGGTAGTCCTGCTTGGAGTTCACCGTGGATCCAGAGGATTGGCCGCGTATGGCGGTGAGGTGAAGAAGGGTGCGGGTGAGCGACCGAACTTGCGAGCTGCCGGGTGAGTGTTATTCCCCCTAGATTGCATGCTCCTTGGTATGTATGGATCGATTAGGTCGGTAGTTGTGAATGTATGGATCGATTAGGTCGGGTAGTGAAGAATGTGGATCGATTGTGGTGTTGTTCCCCGTTGTTTGCGTTCTCCTTGATTGCGTGCTCCTTGTTGTTCATCTGTAGGATGGACGCAGACAATAGCTTCAACCTAGAAATGCGGATTGTTACTCCCAATTCGCGTGCTCGGTGGTTTTCTTTGAACAAAGTTGTGGATGTTGAGCTTACTAACTTCGAAGATCTGGTTCGTGATGTTGTTGACAAGTATCCACCCGATTTCGGTGAGGTAGCTCGACTGTTTTATTTCTGCAATCAGAGTAAGGTCAACGTTGAAGTAAGGAATGACCAAGATATGCGTGAAATGTTTGCTAAAAGTAATGAATCAAAGTGTTGTTTTTTGACTGTTGCCTATAATAGGCCAACTAGTGAGCCTCAGATTCCTGATTGGGATTTTAGTCCCCCTGCCATCTCTGTTGAAGCCCCATTCACTCCTTCAGTCCACTGTCCTACCAGAGTAGAAGCAAGCAATGCCTCCCAGAGTGCCACCCAGAGTGAATGTGCTGAACCTGAATATCTGGCTAACCCAAACCCATCCAATGAGCATGTGGGTGTTGATGAGGAAGGGTTGTACATTGACCTTGGCCCCCAACATCCCCCACCTACCAAACCTCACAGTCAAGTTTGCAGTAAGCAAAGGCAGCCTGAAAGTTGTGATGGTTCAGACAGTGATGACTCTGACGATGAATCCTTGTCTGATGATGATAGTGAAGTAGAGGACTTAGATGATATTATTAAAGATAAAGAACCTGAACAAATGCCTGATGCTGATTATGACAAGAAGGACCCTCCTATGGCTGTAGGCACTGTTTATTCAGACATTCCTTCCTTTAAGCTGGCTTTAGTTACACATTCTGTGAAACATGAGTACCATTATAACATTGAGGCAAGTGACACAGGAAGGTATAGGGCAACCTGCACTGCCCAGAATGATGGCTGCCCGTGGAGAATCCATGCATCAACTCTGAAGGATGGCGTAACTGTTAAGGTACTGTGTATGTACTTTTTGTAAATGCTGATAGTAATTTGGTTTTGTTATTACTTATTGCAAATGCATGCAGTAACTGTGGAATGTATATTTGTTTTGCAGATAAAGAGGAACCCATTTTCCCATCAGTGCCAGAGCGCCAGAAGGCAAGGAGTCTGTGTAGGAGTGACTCAGTTCTGGGTCTGTCATCAAGTGGTTGATTGGCTCAAGAAAGATGGGACTGTGGGTGCCACTGAACTACAAAGGAGATTGAAGGATGAGCACAAGATTGTGGTGCCCTACAAAAGAGTATACAAAGGTAGACTACTTGCCATGGATAAGATTTATGGCCCATGGGACAAAAGTTTTGACAATCTTTTTAGATTTAGGGGGTGTTTGGGACTGCTCCACAAACTCTGCTCCACAAACTCCATCGTAGAGCAGCTCCACAAAAAACTGGAGTTTGTGGAGTACCTCTTTAGGTGCTCTCACAACTCCACCCTTTTTCCTGGAGCAGAGTGCGCGGAGCTGAAACCGTTTGGCTAAAAAATGTGGAGCGGAGCTGAAAAACGTGGAGCGGAGCAGTCCCAAACACGCCCTTAAGGCCCAGATAGAGGAAACCAGTCCTGGTTCATGGGTTGTGATTGATCACCACACCATCAATAACAAGATAAGGTTTAATAGGCTCTTTTTTGCACTTAAACCTTGTGTTGATGGCTTCCTTAGAGGTTGTAGACCATATCTTGCAGTAGATAGCACATTTTTAACTGGGAGGTTTAGGGGCTAGTTGTGCATTTCCTGTGCAGTTGATGGGCACAACTGGATGTACCCAGTAGCAGTAGGTGTCATAGATTCTGAAACCAATGAAAATTGGGTATGGTTCATGGGGAGGTTGAAGGAAGCAATAGGCAGTCCACCTGGGCTTACTTTCTCCACAGATTGTGGCCAGGCAGTGATGAATGGAGTTAGTGAAGTGTTTCCAGAAGCTGAACATAGGGAGTGTATGTATCATCTAGTATAAAATTTCAAGAAGAGGTATAGTGGTAAAGTTTTTGATGAGCACTTGTGGGCTTCTGCATATTCTTGGAGTCCATATATGTTTGATAAGCATTATCAGGCAATGGCTGCTGCCAAAGCAGAAGCTATGAAGTACCTTCAAGACACTCACAAGAAGCTATGGACTAGGAGCCAGTTTGGCACTGCCTCAAAAGTTGATTATGTGACTAACAACTTGGCTGAGTCTTTCAATAACTGGATAAAGGGTGAGAAGCAGAAGCATCTGGATGACTTGATGGACACCATCAGACAGAAGATATTGATCAAATGGAACCATAGGAAGAGGGTGGCCAGAAAGTTTGAAGGAAAGATTTTGCCCCATATTGTGCAGAAGCTAAAGGATGACAGTTACAATCTTGATATTGAAGTGATCACAAGCTCTCCTGAAGGTGTTGCAGAAATTTGTGCTAAGGGGGGGTCTGGGTTTAGGTTTGTGGACTTAAGAAATATGACATGTTCCTGTAGAGTCTGGCAGGGGTCAGAAATACCCTGCAAGCATGCTATTGCCTACATCACCTCAATTCCAGGTGCAAGACTAGAAGATCATGTAGATGATTTCTTCTCTGTCCAGAAGTTCAAGGATGCCTATGCAGGCTCTATCCCATGCATTCCTGACAAGTCCATGTGGCCCAAAGCAACACATGGCTTCT